TTATTTATTTCATAAAATAGAGCTTGTTGCTAGTCTGCCTTCCTACACAACTGGCATTTTATCATTTATCACCTGTGAAAATTACATAGTATGAAAGTTGAAAAATATGCGAGAGAAGACTTTGACAGAAGCCTGGACCTTTGCAGGCAACATTTCTGGAAGAAGTGGGATCATACGCTCCCTCAGGCAGAGTATTATGGTATAGCTGACTTCTGACTGATAGGTTTTAATTGGCTAGGTTATCTGAGCACTTTCCAGTTCCTACATCTACATTTTACCATCTCCTCAGTAGCATTTCCCATCTGTTTTACCCTTTCACAAATGGAGAAGTAGGAAGGAAGCCACTCAAGGGAAGAGAAGATGCTGGTGGAGAGGAAGGGCACCCACACTCAGTGTCTGAGGCGTGCTCTCACCACCAAAAAGCTCTTCCTGTGTTGTAGAGTGATTCCTAATGTTGTAATGGACAAGAAAAGAATGGAATGAAGTGCGAAGTTTGGAGCTTATATGGAGGAGAGGCAAACTGAAACTTTAGTAGGTACCGTCTTCACCAGAGTAGGTAAACCATAAAGATTGCACAAAAAAAGCAATCACCAAGAAGCACGTGGTTAGCACCGGCAGTATAAAAAAGAGTTGACAAGAAATTTCTGGATATATCAGACTGGAAATTTTAAAATGCCCATAAAAGAAAACTGATATTCTAGTAGAAACTAAAATAATTGCCTCTGTATTTCATTTCTGTCATCCTTCAAAGCTGCAAAGTGGTAAGAAATTACAGCATTAATGTTCCCACTAAAACGGAATGAAAGCTGACTCTATTTCTAAGGAGAGATATCCACTACAGTAATACTGTAGTAAAGTAAGCAGTTGGAATTACGTTTGTATAATTTATAAGCCAAACCCAAACAACCTGAATCTTTTTAATATTCCATTTCTATATTCATATTTTAATATCTCTGATGCTGATATTATTCTTATTTTATGGGCTTAAGGGAATGCATGCACTAGTTGGAATGCTTTCAGGGAACAGAATTTTATTTTTAGATCAAATGAATCTGACCCAGATAAAATCTGGACCTTAACTTGGCAATTACGTAGTTTCAAGCAATGAATAGCACATCTGAGGAGAGAGATTAGTTGTTTTTTTTTATTGCACTTGTTACTTGATATACAGGGATGTGTCAGTATGTGCAGTGTATCCAGCTTGTATTAATGTATTAATTTGCAGAAAATTATAATACATAGAAAGCATTAAAATATTCAAAATATTAGTGTTTTGGGCATAATGAGCATAATTGATTGCATGTTGTCTAAGTAACTCAGCAAAATTTTTTTAGTGGAGAAAAGGGAAGTGAAGACTTGTGCCCTTTGTGGGAAGGAGTGTGGCATTTTAGCCATTCTGTACAGCATTTAGCACTAACCCTGATTGTGCCTTGCAGGCACATCTGTTAAATGGTTTCATTGCACTATGCTAGTAATCTGGCTTTTCAACAGGCTGGCTGAAAGTAGTAAGGCAATAAAAAAAGACTGTCTAGTTTTAAATCTTAGAGTTGAATTACTTTAAAACTTGAGTTATTAATGGAACTCTTGGGCTAAAAGGGATGTGGCAAGTGATGTCTACTGGGGGAAAGTGATGACGTTCTCCGCCACGTATTTGTTCTCCCATGGTTGAGTGTCATAGTAGGGGTGAGTGGTCATGAGTTAAAATGAGTAAAGTGCACAAGTATTTCAGTGAAATGTTGCTTGCTGATGTGTTCTGCATTTAGGTCTTACATCTAGACAAAAATTATTGGATTATTTTAAATTTCTGTTACTAAATTAAAAGAATGACAATAGAGTTAGTAACATTTGTTCCTGATGAAATATTATTTAGAATAAACAGTGACTAGTTATCATACTAACTTCCTTGGTTTAAAATGGAACAGTCAGCTTGGATTTTCAGGAATTGATGAACGATCTATTGCTCTTACAAATGTACCTTTCTTTAACAGTACAACATGTGGTATCAACATGCTATCGTACTAATAAATGCAATAAATAAGGGGAGGATTACACGTCTCCTCTAATAACAACGGTTCAAAAAGATAAGATTTTTTTTGTGAAGTAAAACCAGCTATTATCAAGATTTACTCTACTTTTTTTTATATATGTGATGTAAAGTCCTCTTGGCTATCAGGCCTTGTGTGAGGTGAGATATGACTTTCTTAATTAATATGTTTGAAGTAATGCTTTGTGCTGTGTACTCCTAGAAGGAATAGATTTTTTTTTTTTAATATTAAGAAATTAAGCAATTAAATATTTTTCCCCAATTCCCTACTAACTTCTTTAAACTTCACAAGAAGGTTTAAAAAAACTACATGCTATGGACATCATTTTATTTTAAAATAATAATAATAATAAAAAATAACAGCAAAACAAAACCTGAGTAGACTCTGTAAGGCAAGAGATCATTATCTCATTTTGAAGTGGAGACAATTTAATTTAGAAGTTCATTTAACAAGGTTAAAAAAATCTTTCAAGAGATATGATGAGACTGGTCAGCAGCTTTCTCAGTGTTAGCATTGTAATTGAGAGATAGGACCTTGCCTTGCAGACACAAAGTTACATTCCTGGTGCAGTATCTTGCTATACTGAAAATCTCTATTATTTTCAATGCCGACACTCAGATTCAAAGCAGCATTTATACCTTTGTTTTCAGCCACCATAAATCAGAAGAAATTCTTCCAGCTGTTGGAAGGGATCTTCAAGCAATTTTATAGCCGAGGTCCAATCAGATAATGCTAATCTCTAAGGGGTACAATGGAGCATTCACAGGAGAAAATATTAATATTGCTGCTCACCCTAGAGGTGACTGCATTTCAATTTGATAAATGGTTTATTATCGTCATCATCTTATCTTTCAAGCTTCGAGTGTTTTTTGGAGACTTTGGAAAGAATAAATCTCTATAGACATGGCTCATTGCCATTTACAGCAGTATGCCAAGTGGCATATGCTCTATTAGACATAGTCAAAAAAAGATTAATTATCATATTTGATGGTGGTGGGAAAATCAAAACTTTTTTAGTAATTATTTTATCTTCACATGCTTGTTGTAATGTGATGATTCCATAACAGTGACATGTCATTCCTGCAGCCAATGCCTCATCTTTTCCAGTCCAAGGTGCCTGCATCAGCTTCCATTGACATCAGAGTAGATTAGTGAACTTGCATCACCTTAAAATGGCTCTAACAGCTCAATCAGCCTCTGAGTTTTGTTGTTGTGGAAATTTGATAATCATTCAAATTGAACGGTAAACTGAATGTTTTGTTGTTCTGGCACTTACACACTTTAGAGTTAACTGCAGCTTTAATAGATAGAGTACTTCAAATACAACCAAGGGTGTGCAAAATTCTCAAATCCTTAGAGATTATTTGAAAATTATGCCTGAGAAATCTTTAGCCTTGGAAAGTGGTAAACTGACATTTGAATGTAGCAAAACACCACAATGCTTGCCCCTAAACTGATTCAGTCTTTTTTATATGTCTCTGTGCATGCACACAGACAAATATGTAAACCTAAACTTCTTTTTTTTTTTTTTGGTCTGTTGCTACGATTTGGCATTTCTACTGTCCAAAAGGGATTTGTTTCAGAAGGTATAATACTTGGCAATATACTTTCGTCCTTCCAGTGAAGTATGCTGCCCAAGCATCTGTAAGAAATAAGTCACTTGTTTTACCAAAAGTGTTGGTTGAAGAAAATTAATGTCAAAATGAGGCTTTAAACTATATAAGCAAAACATATTCAGCATTTCAAGGCCAGATGTCTTCTGCAGTTTTTTCCAAAATGTGCATTCTCTAATGTAGCTAACTGTGGAAATTTTGCCTAAAATTGAGCCAGAGCTTAAACCTGTACTAAGTAGTAGTCATTCATCAACTTATGTTTTAAGTTGCTGATTCAGTTTTGAACTGTTCTAAATGTAGTTTGTGCCACAGTGTTGGTATCTCTGCCTTTGCTTTAGGCAGCTTGAGGAAAATGGCTGTGTCTGCACTTAGGTACAATTGGCACACTAATGCTCAGTCCTCATTCCCTGATGAACCTGGAAAGGGGGGACTGCGCAGAAACTTGCTGCTCTTTCACATGGATTTTCTGCTGTGGGAAACTGAAGCACATGTTCACGAGTATCCTGGCATGCAGCTGGGCTGTGGTCAGGCTATGTGCTCAAGCACTGGGGCGGAGATGTGGCCAGTAAAACTCTGGGCTCTAAAATAATGTGTATTTCTTTTACAAGAGTAACCAAATTGCCTGACAAGACTTAAAAATAACATTTGAGGCTTACCTCTGAATATTTCCTTCACCAAAAAAATCAAATAAAGCCTTTAAATATGTATCAAATATTTCAGAAAACATTAAAAATATAATATTCTGTTTTATTTAAACAGAAAGACCATGATGTCTCACCAGAGACTCTAATATTGGCCATTTTCTTACAGTTCCAGGTCAAATGAAAAGAAGTCCATATGTCACGTTCTTTTTCTTTGAACTTCTTCTTCCACTGCTTTCTTTCCTGATGCTCTTGTCTGACTAGTTAAATTGTTGTTTTAATAAAGTGATTCCAGCTCACTTAAAATAAAAGCTCATATAAAAGTTGATCGATATGGCAGGAACATCCATAAAGCTTCTCTTTCTCAAATTTCTCATTAATTCAGGTCAGTTTCTTTGTCTTAAGCGGGGTTGAAAATAAACTATTGAAAGTGAGGACGGTTCATTTATCACAAACTTTTCCTACGTTTTCTGAACTTTACAGTGGCTTTTGTTTTGTATTTGGCAATGACACAATATTGCCCCCCAACACCCCTTCCCCTTAAAAAGTAACAAATAAGTTCCTTACATATGCAGGATGGTAGCATTAGAGTATAATGAAGGGTATCTGGAGTTAAGGCCTCTCTCATATATAGTAACAAATGTCTTGGCAGGTAGAAGAGCTGTGGTCTTTTTCTGGAAGAGTTGTTTTGTTTTTTCTAGAATCTGTGTATCTATGATCACATTCCCGTAAAGATAGACAATGAGAGAAAGCAACATCAATGAAAATCCAGCAGTGGGGTGAAAGGACTTAAAAGAAGCCTACAAGAAGAATGCAGGAGTTGCAGTGCTACAGGTTGGCACTTTCGGACAGAACCAAGTTCATTCAGGGAAAATGACTGATAAAAATCCCTGGGTGCTCACAGAGCCTGCTTTCACAGTTTACAGTAACAAAGAGAAATGTGAGTTAATGCAAATGTGTTCAGACAAACCTAATGGAAACAATTGTGTTTGCATCTTTTAGTCTCCTGGAAATTATTAAGGAAGTTTGACAGTCTCTAGAGAATAAAGTTCATAGTCACCAATTTCATAGATTGTCCCAGGACTTCTTAGTGTGCATCAAATCAGTTGAGTTCATTCTGCTGAATTTCTTTAAACTCAAACAGTAGGCCAAATTATAGAGCTACAGTGAGGTTTATGCTACCTGCAGCGTCACATTTAAAAGTTTAAATGTTATTACAGAAATTAGGTTATTCCCAGATTTATTCTGCATCTTACAAGTTAACATTTTACATGATTTAACCTGTGTGACTAGAGGTAAAGGTATGACAAATTCAACTACATCCTTGAATGTTGACTTTATCCATCCATATATTAGTATCTACTTCTGCTCTGGTATCTGGAATTCTGTAAGAGTGATTCTTATCAATACCACAGCTCATGGGCATGAGCAGTAGCTGGAAACAGAGAATAAAACATTGACTACCCATGGTCTTAAAGGTTTGACACGGGGGAGGTACTATTTATCTGAGTTCTGTGGCCCTATTTCATTCAAGAAATTAAATATTTTGCAAGCTACTGATCAGAATCTAAGTGCACTGTATACCTTTATTTTAATCTACTTCCTTTGCTAGGCCAAAACACAGTTGAACTAAAAAGTTGAAGTATACAGTAATATGATCCTTAAATACAAAGAAAAGACCTGGAATTATAGTCATCATTATTCAACCTTAATTCCTTTTGCAGGAATTTTCCTCAATCAAGGTGACACAGGAAAGTACAGTGCTATCTGAGAAGATATTCTGGATGTCATTTCCAAAAATCTGTGGGGCAACTGATACCGTTTCTGTACAACTGCAGTGTGGGATTCAGATGATGCTGGTTCAATGGCTGCTGATGCCAACGATGTACATGAGTTTGCTGTGCTATTCTATATGATCCACATAAGATCAGCTCTGTAAAGTGAGTGGAGTGCTGGATTATTAATATGGGGCTTACTAAAATATAATTGTAAAGAAATAGCTGATGCTTGATTCATTAAGGCTATACATTTTAAAAGAAAATCAGCATTTAAAGTGACCATTTAATCACTGTCATGTATCACTACAAGAACTCTCCATTATGTGTGTTTAAACAAATGAGCTCTAGATTAGGATATTCCTAAGTAGTGAAAACTAAGGTATTAAGACCTCAGCTGGCAAGCAGTTTCTTAAAAATATTGTACTATTCCTCAAACTGGTGTTAAGGCATGGCTGCAATTTCCATCACTCTAGGCATGTTATTTTGAGGTAACTCCTTTTTGTTACCTAGAAAGAATTGTACCTCTAAGATGATGTGGTAACTGAGCTCTAGATATCACCAGGGGATTGTTAAATGGAGACAATCTGCTGAACATAGTAAACTACCCTTCTGAATGTCTTATCTGGAAAAGTGAAAAAACTCTGTGGACACGAAAAAATGAATAATCAAAAAAGAAATGCAGAGTCCCAAAATACTAATTTCTGACCTTTGAAATACCCTGTAGCATGTGCAAAAAGTAGTTTTGAAGAAAAGATGACTAAATTACAGTAAAAAAGGGTAAGAGACAATCATCTAGGAAACAGTAGCCTCTTCCACCATTGACACTTCTCTTAATGCAACAAAGATCTGTAGCAACAGAAGGAAGAATTTTAAAACACACACTTCTCCAAATGAAAAAAAAAAAGCACGCATTTTTAATGTCCATGACTTCACTGCTGCATTTTTAGGGAAAAAAAAAAAATAAAAATTGGACCTCTAAATCTTGCTCCTATAATTATCTACAGGGAACTTGATGAGTACCTTTCTCCTTTCTGTGCAGGACGGGATTTTTAAGGAAGAGGGACATCAACTTTCCTCTTTATCTGGGTCACTTAAGTGTTGTTTGCTGCCTTGTATCAAACCCATACTGCTCCATGCCCTTTGGGAACGCTGAGGAAAGGAGCTATATTGCCATTACACTGGTATGGTGTTTTATTAATACCTTTTTACGGGGATTTTCAATGGTAATGAATCTCAAAAATATTGTCAGCAAGACTTGTGGAAAGATTACTACATCTTTGGATTTTCTGTCTCTGCCTAAGAGACATGATGCTGAGTGGCTAGATTGATATGTTTATGTTTGTCATAGGTGGTGAATGAAGATAAAAGGTAATCTCATCTCTGAATAATTTTATAGATATTCAGTATTACTGCTATTTAATTATTTTTCACAGGGAGATTTCTTAGCAGTTTCTGGTTGCTGGGACAACAGAAACAGTCTGAAAAATACTGAATTTGTGAGGCTGGTTACACTATGGTCTCATGTAAGAGAGAAGGAAATGCATACCCACTTGGAATATGTCTCATTCTGACTATACAGGACTATGTTGTAAACTAAATTACCTGTGTGATTTCTTATAAGCTGGAACCTTAAATTATGAGCATTGTGGTAGCTGCTTCAAAGCAGATCAGTTTCAAGCAGATAAATATTTTGCCTGTCTCAGAAGACGATTTTGTAAGTTGTTTGTCCCTGATCTTTTTATTCTATTATGTTATGTTTGTTGGAAATGGCTTTTCACTTCCTGACGATTGGTTGTCACATAAGTCATAGCAAGAGATTTGGATGAATACGGCAGAACAAGAAAAGCTGCATTTCGATAGCTTTTTGTAGTATTCTACAAAACTGTCCTGCCACCTCTTCCTGATATAGATAAAACTGGTTCAGTATAACTGATTTGAAGAAGTTTTGAAAGTCTCTGAATTTTAAAATGTTTCTGATGAATGTGTACGTGATGTGTTTTGAACTGTAATCCAGCTCCCATTGAAGTCTATGGCAATGCTGCCATCAATTCCTGTGGTGCAGAAGTGGACTTATAATGAGCTATTTAATGTTTCACTTATCTAAATTGTCACAGCTTGAAAGCTGTAGTAAAAGACTGGTGGGGTTGTGGAATGACTGGAGGGCCTGTAAATGTAATCAAAGAGACCAGATTGTGTGTGAGAAGCTGTTTCATCTCAATCTCTTTCATCTATGGAAACCTGATAGAATTTGTTTAGTAGATTTTGGCACATAGAAACTCATAGACAAATACAGCATTTAGATTGACTCTTCAGAACAAAAGCAGACAGATGAATAGTTTTACAGTTAAGCAGCTATAATTCAGTAGTTTTAAGTTCTTCACTTTCTGTCACTAAACTTTTGATGAGAAAGTCTTGTTTGTAAACCATATCTAACTTGGGTTTCTTTTCTGTACAATAATGGAAGCATATATTTTTCTTGGAGGAGACCTGAAAATACATGCTCTAATATTTATGGAGTGTTTCAAAAAAAGATACAGATTGAAAGCTATATAATGTAATATCTGGTGTGTTTAATATATTTTTTAAATATCTCTGATTTTAATGTATTGTTTAGAATTGCCAAGAATTATATAACAACTGATCCCAAATGGGAGAGGTGGTTCTTTGAGGTTTCTTTGTTTTGGCTTTTTTTTTCCCCAGGAGTTTCTCTCATCTTCTAAAATCCATTTTGACTAAATACATTGAAAGATATATTAATCCAAATGAACAAATAAATGGATATTTTTTTAAAAAATCTGACAAGATATGGAACAAGTTGTAGTAATGTTAGGTAGATTTGCTAGTACAGTAAATTAAATATGAAAGAAGTGTGACTTCATCATCTTCTTTTGAAAGACTTCATTATAGATACTTTAATTATAGATACTTTAATGATAAAAGAACTAATATATATATTGTACATGTTACCACAAGCTGTCAGTGAGTGATCTGCAGCAAGGTGGGAAGAGCTGCAGTGTACATGATGTAGAACTGATTTTGGAATTGCCCAGAGCTCTAAGCAAAAGATACCTTTGAGGTAAACTCAGACAGTTCAGAACCAGTACAGCAGTATTAACAAAAGCCTGGCCAGATCACAGCATGTCTCTTCAACCCCTGTGAACTGAATCATAGAGGAGAGTGTTATAGGCTGGTGTTGCTACAGAATTTCTTTTTTTTTTTTAATTAATAATGAATGAGATGTCAATGAGTGAATCATCCAGACTATTATTCAGCATCTTCAGGCTTTGCCATATTTTCCTTTCTGTTACTGAGTCAAATGACTTGACTGTGATTCTCTGTGTTGAGTTACAGCATCTGCCACGTGTTTGTAAAACGATGGATAAATTATCCCCTTCCTCCTTTGTTCTGAGATATCAGTCTAAGTTTCCTTGATAGTTTGTTTCCTTTACTCAGATGTGGTTTTGCACAGTTATTCTAGCACCAGTTCTCTCGTTTAGTAGACTACCTCTCCTCTTACCATCTTGCCCACTGTTAATTTAAAATGTTGATTGACAAAATTAAGTTCTTAAATTAGGGTTGCCTTGTGTCGAAAGTATTTCCCAGGGAAACCCTGCCATGGAAAAGTTAAAATTCTGGGAGTGCTAGTATGGTTTAGAGGAACTATATTTTTAAATTTTTTTTTATGTTTTTTAGCATTGATGATTTGGTTGCAAAATGAAATAAGTACACAGAATGAGAATTTTTAAATACGAGTCATATATTTATGCCTGTAGTAATAGGTACTGAACAAGATCTGTTTACTCACCTTACCATGTGAAATTGGTTCTATGAGCTAAATTCCTGTATCCAAGCAAAAAAGGAGGAAGAAAAGATATTTTTACTGAATCTTTCAACTTTCCACCAGCCCTAACAGAGACTAATTGGAGTTTCAATGGAGAAAACTGTTCTGAAAAATCCTGAATGTATTCTTCTATTATTCATGTGTGTTTCATATGTGAAAGAACAGCCAACGCTTCTGGAGACCACTGTGAATGAACTATTTGATAAGGTCTTGTTTGATGTAGGAAATCATCTAGAAAAGCAGTAACTTTAGTTTTTACCTGCTCATGAAGCTACACAGGGAAGTAACTAATAAGAATTAGACTTTAAAATAAATGACCAAAAAATTGTGAGATGATGGGACAGTGTAAATCAGAATCTTATAACATAATGTATGAGAAGGGTAATATAAGGAAACTATTTTTCATCGGGTTAAAAAGTTTGAATATTGTAGTGATATATTTATGAAACTGATAAAGGATAAGCAAGAGGAAATATGGGTCTCAAATTTAGGACAGTAAGCTGAAGGAAAATTGTTGACATCATCAATGTGTTCTGACCTTGAGTTCTTAATGGCAGTATCAGATGCATTTTTTTTGGTTTTTTTGCAACTGGAATCATACAGCAGTTCTAAGGATGGTGGGCAAAACGTGGTCTGAATCTGAGTGACTGCAATGCTGTCATGGGCCAAAGATGTGCCTATATTCTTAAAGTAAAGAGTATAATGAGTAAAGTAATGATACATTTAACTATAAAAACGAGGAAAGCAGAACTCTATTGCAGAGGTAAAAAAGAAAAGTAATTATGGCAAGATGGGGACCAAGTCCTTCAGGATGATTGGCAATGTTGAACTGGAAAAATGCAACAGTAAAAACAAAATAACTGACACTTTTTTATGATGTTCATGCACACTTATGTGTGTAAATATACATGTAAGTGTATGTATTTTTCCCTGTAATAAGTGTTCCACACTGATAGTCAGTATAGTGGAAGGAAGAAATGTATGTCATGAGAAGTTTGGTAATCTTTTGGGGGTGCTTTGACGACTGATGCTCAGCCAGTCTCTGCGCAACAGCTACTTTGGAAGACAAAACCCCAGTTTTTACTGTTGAATATAATGATATATGGCATGAATTGTCTCTTTAACCAGTTTGAGCCAGCTGTCCCAGCTGTGTTCCCTCCCAAAGGCTTGCTCACTCGCAACCTGCTTGCTGTCAGGGACAGAGTAAGGAACTGAGAAAGCCTTGAGTCGTGCAAGCACTGCTCAGCAATAGCCAGAACTTTGGTGTTACCCACTCTGT